AATATCATCCTTAAACTATGACTCCTAGTCTAAATTGGTCCCCAAGCTTTTAAACATTCCAGTAATATCCCCCTAGATCATTCAAAACTTCAAACATGAAATTAGAATATTTAAAAGTTTGGGGATCAATATAGAATGAGGGTTATAGTTTGGGGATGAATTTGGTATGTTCAAAAGTTTAAGGACTAATTTAATAACGAGAGCATAGTTTGAGGATGATATTAGAAAGTTTGAAAGATTAGGTTCAATTTAAAATGAGAATCGTAGTTTAGGGATATATGGTGGAATTAGCTCTATATTTAATGAATATATCCTTATAAATTAAAAATAGTTAATCTTAATCTCAACTTATGCTTAAAACATTATTTTTAAACCATGTAATAAGTATTTCACTTGGTGCAAGTTGTCTGTTGGAACAGTGAAGGGTTGTAGGTTTAATTCCTAGGTTAGGCCATCACTTTTTATCTTATTTTATGATCAATAAGGTGGGAACACATTACCATTTTAGTGGTAAAAATGATAGGCTAAACTTATAATTGAAGTGACTTTTTTCCCCTTTCTAATGATGGTAACTAAATTAACAGTGCTGTAAAAATTGATGATTCAAGTATACAAAAATATTTTATATGACTAAATTTATAGTACCACAAAAACTGCTTGACTAAATGGAAAGTTGATCCAATTTTTGGAAGGATGGACTTCATAATAGTAAGAGTGAGCAAAACTCGACTCGACTCGAAAAATTGATTTTTTACAATTTTGAGTTATTCGAGTCAACTCAAATTATTAGTTCGTTTTCGAGTTCAAGTTGAGTTGAATTTTTGAAATTTTGAGTTACTCAAAAAACCAAAAATTTGACTATATATTTTGACTATTTTACGATTTAGTCCCTAATTTTATTATTCATTCAATTTCTCCTTCATTTTAAGTCAATTTTTACCAAAATTGAAACATATGCTCATATACCATTGTAGAATACATATGTACTTTTAATTTCTCTTTTTGATAAGAAGTTTTATATTTTTCAATTTAGTCCCTTAATTTTTCATAATTTCCTTATTTCTTCAATTCATCATATATTTTAAGTTCGTTTTCACCAAATTTGAACCACATGCTCATATACCACTATAGAATACCTATGTAACTTTAATTCTTTTTTTTTTACTAAAAATGGACTCTCTCTTTTATTTAGTCCTTTAACTTTGCATTTTACTCAATTTCATCTTTTGATTGCAATTGTTTGCAAACTCTTTCTTTCTATCAATTCATTGACTCCTTTATACTCTCATTAATATTTTCTCCCTTAAAATTCTTTCTTTAAAATATAATAATATGAATATATTTTATAATTTTAGATTGTATTTGATATATTAAATAACATTATAATATGAAAAGAATATGAAATATATATCTTACATAGTTAGAGAAAGTCAAAAATTATAATCAATCCTTATCATAATACTATAAATAATTATAATAAAATTAATATAGAAACTCGAACAACTCGACTCAAATTTCTTAAACTCGACTCGAAAATATTTCAAGTTAAGTTCAAGTTATAAAATACGACTCGTCAACTAGAATAACGCAAAATATTTTAACTAGACTCGACTCGACTCGATTGAATGCTAACCCTAGATATTATTATTATTATGATGATGAATTCAGGATGAATATAAAGTAATATTTGTTCAAAGACTCTCATTCATTTGACAATTAACGTTTATATCCTTGCATATACAATGATCGAAGGCTCAGTGGCGGAACACAAGAGGGACTATTGGAGTCATGGCCCCTCCAAAATTTAAAATTTAGACCCTTAAAATTTTCAAAAAAATTAATTTACCCCCCTCAAAATATTTAGAAATTTATATTAAACTTTAAAATTTTTGAATGTTCTTAATTAAATCCCCTACCTTAATTTTTAAAAATTCTCATTAAGCCTCTCAATTTAAATTTTTTTAGTTATACCTTAATTTTTTTTTTTGGAAAAAAATGTAAACTAAACCTTTCAAAAAAAAAATTAAAAATTTTAATTTAAACCTCTAATTTTTTTAATGTTTTAAGTTGACCCCCAAACTCTATCATCAAGTTTCGTCATTGGCACGTACCAAGCAACCTCGATGGTAAAAGAATTGTTGTTGTTGTCCCTTGAGGTCCCGGGTTTGAGCACCATAAATGTCATAGGTATGAAAGTTTAATATCAAACGGTTTAGAGTTATCTTTAAACGTATACTACCTTATACTTACTTTATATTAATAATAAAATTTTGTGACCGCTATGACCTCAAAGAAAAACAATAAATTCGTTGATGATTAAAAATCGCTATTGGTGTTATTATTATTATTATTGAATTCGCCAAACTTACAAATGCTGACATCCTTCAATGCGTTTATTCCCTGGTACTTTGGACCCACTTTCTACCTAAATTCATATTCCTAACTTTTTTTAATTTATCTATACACACGCAACGAAGCTATTTATGATCAATTATCACGTTTTCTTCAAGTTAAACTTGTAAAATAAATCACTTTATTTGTTTTTATCCAATACTTCAATTATTTGGCTCTTTTGATTCCTAATTTTTATATTGATGAACATTAAATAAATATTTTTCACAACCGCCAAATAAGTATGTGAATATACTTATAAGCATATAATTAAGTATATTCACCTATAATAAAAAATATATGTGTAGATAATAAAAATAAATATTATAAATAAACATATTTCTCATTTTTATACCTAATAATTAAATATAAATATTATTAATCGTATAATAAATATATACAATAAAACTTCTATAAATTAATAATATTAGGACCACATAATTTTATTAATTTAAAGATGTATTAACTAATCGATAAATTAATAATTTATTAATTTAAAGAGATATTTTTTTATTCAACGAACATATATAATGCCAGGGCCACTAATGATGATACAATATCTTTGCAACAAATTACGCGGAAGGAAGCACTCACAACGTCGACATCTCTTCACAATTTTTTGTTAGTGTGAGGAACGCTATACCAGAACTTTTGAATGCATTAGGGAAAGTTAAAGATGAAATACAACTAGATTTAAATTTTAAGAAGAAGCAAACAACAACAAATCATATTTTACTGAGTTGTTATAGTGATATTTGTACTTTTATAGAATTATTAATTTGTAATATTAAAATTGATCATAAATTTAGATAAGAGTCTTTCGAAAAATTATTTATCTTATTAATTTATCGAAATCGTTAATTTAGAACTTGGACTTAAGTTGGGATCGAGAAAATTATTATTTTACAGAGTTTATTAATTTATCGAATATTAATTTATAGAGGTTCTACTGTATATATCTTTTATTGATTTTACACGAAAATAAATTAATAAATAAAAAATATATTTATATTTAAACTCATTTAGTTAATTAATTATTATTTATTTATTTAAATAAATAAATAAATATTATACAAATAGTACACGAGTGATTCTCGTTTCCATTGTTTGTATTCTTACCTCCCACACGTGTTTTTTGAGTTTTGGTACTTCTAGAAACGCAGATAGAGAAGTCAAACCTTGCACAAAATAGAAAAGTCAAACCCCAATCTTCAACATCTTTTATTGTTTCTAGAATGACCTCCTTGATGATATAGCTAATTTCAGTTCGTTTATATTAAAGCCCTTAATTATTGTATACGTATGGAGTTAGGATCCGCTCACATAATATAATTTTTTTTAATTTTGCATAGATTAGGATCATTGGATAAGTGAAAAAAGATAACTGAGAGTGTTTTTTTATTTTTTTTCTAGTGAATATCTTCTTATTTACTATTGTTAACTTCAGTCATCTATTTGCATTCATTCAACAGTCTTAAATTTGTGTAAAACTGAAAGAGTTTTACATTGTGTAATATGATCATATCTTTATAAATATATATATATATATATATTGAACAATTCATACGGGATGGGAAGGAGAATATTACTCATAATGACTATTAAACCCATGACCTAATAGAGAAAAGATGTATTAACTGAAATCTTTTAAACATAGGCTATAAAAATTGTTGACTCTTACCCTTAATATTAGTAAATTTTATTTTTACAAAATTTGCAATATCTCTCTCTATCAGTCTTGATTTTCAATAAAAAATAGTATATAGAATAAAATCATTTCAAAATGATTTAATTTGTTCTTATAAATACCTTACCTTTATAAAAATATTATAAGAGAAAATATAATTTTTTATATCTAATTTTAATATTTTTTATATATTTTGGTATCTATTTTTCTTCTATACAATTAGGTATTTGACTTTAATATTTACGTGTAATATAGTGCCTAATTTTTTAGTGATGCAATTAAATACTTAATTTTTTTTAAATATAATTAGGTATTTGACTTTTATTTTTGTTGCAATTAGGAACTTATTTTATTAAGAAATAAGACATTTTGTTATTAATAGGGACCGATTTTGTTATTAATTTTAATTTACTTGGAAAATAAGAAAAAATTGGGTAAATTATAAAATTGATCACTTTTGTCTGAGTTTTTGTACACTTTTTCTCACTGAACTTAAAAAATATAATATTTGGTCACTTTCATATTTATGTAATTAAGATTTGACCACTTTCGTTTTTATTTCATTAACATGTGGTCACTGAAGGTTAACTGCCGTTAGACCTTTAACAAATTACTAACACGCAGACAGAAAATAAAACTATAAGTATATTTTAACTTTCTACTGGTAAATTCTGTAAAAATGAAAATCATGACAAGTAAAAGTTGCTAGATTTTAAGCTCATGCGTTGAATTTTTTCATTTTTTAATTTTTACAAATAATTCAATCCATAAGATACAACGTTGAAAAAGTTTGAGATGTGAAATCAAAATAAAGATGCCGCCAGCAGTAATGCAATATTGAATTTAATTTGCTTTCCTATGGAGAGCCCTTGCCTATATATATATTTATATCCCCAGTTTCAAACTTCAAAGGCAAAAGCTCTTCATAGGAAAGCAAAACAAATTCATTTTCTTTCTGTTTTTGATTCTTTAACTTGAGCACCGGGAACGATCACGTCTTGATATTGTTTTGGTGGGTGTTCTTTTGTTTTGATAATGGAGGGTGGTGATATTTATAAAGCGAGTGCTAGCTTAAGGGGAAGTATGCGTGCTGGGAGCTCTTCCATATGGAGAAACAATGGCGTCGAAGTTTTCTCGAGGTCTTCCCGTGATGAAGACGATGAAGAAGCTCTAAAATGGGCTGCACTTGAGAAACTACCCACCGTCGCTCGTCTAAGGAAAGGTATATTGGCCGGCTCTCAAGGCGGTGCCAATGAAATCGATGTTTTCGACATCGGGTGGCAACAGAGGAGGACTTTGCTTGAGAGGTTGGTCAAAGTTGCAGAGGAAGATAATGAGAAGTTCTTGTTGAAGCTCAAGAATCGTGTCGATAGGTATCAAGTTGTTGTGTTTTTTAATGTTAGCTACTGGGAAACCAGACGGGAAAAAGAAAAAGAAAAGGAAAATCGGTGTTTTTGTATCATTAACCATTTGCTTTGTAAATTTTCAGGGTTGGGATCGATCTTCCCGCCATTGAAGTCAGATTCCAAAATCTAAACATTGAAGCTCAAGCTTTTGTAGGAACCAATGCTTTGCCTACAGTTATTAATTTCACCACTAATATATTTGAGGTACCACCGACCTGGAAAACACTTCACATATTCTCAACTCTTGTAATCTTTGTTTCAACATTTTTCTGACATATCATTTGTTTCGTATTGTGATTAAAGAACTTGATGATCGAGATGGGAATTCTTTCTAGTAGAAAGAAAAAGATGACAATCCTCAAAGATGTCAATGGAATCATTAAGCCTGGCAGGTAACCACAAGTTTTGATCTTTGACTGTTAAATATAAATCTGGGGTTTCTTAAAATCAATCAAAATTCTCTCTTCTGATGTATTTCTGACAGGATGACACTGCTTTTGGGTCCTCCAAGTTCTGGGAAAACCACTCTCTTGTTGGCCTTAGCTGGGAAGCTTGATACAGCACTCAAGGTGCTCTACAGAATTCAGCTTTGGTTCAATGCCCCTTGTTCCTTTTGCATCTTATTTCTAATTTGTAAGTGAAATTCTGTTGCAGTGTTCTGGGACAGTGACCTACAATGGGCATAAAATGAATGAGTTTGTGCCCCAGAGAACTGCTGCTTATATTAGTCAACATGATCTTCATATAGGAGAGATGACTGTGAGGGAAACTTTGGCCTTTTCTGCAAGATGCCAAGGGGTTGGAGATCGTTATGGTTAGTTTTGTTTGATTTGTTTTTGAGTTCTTTGAGTGGAATATAAAACTTTCCTTTTTTTGATTCACCAAAGCATGAAAATTTGTTGTTTTGGGTGTTTCAGATATGTTAGCAGAATTGTCAAGAAGAGAGAAACAGGCAAACATTAAACCTGATCCTGATATTGATGTCTTCATGAAGGTAAGATTAAGTTATACATCTTTTATTCTCTCTGGCAGAATCAACTGGAAAAAAGATTGACTAAGAATCAGAAATGGAATTCAAACTATGGTCAGACAGGAAACACAGTTATAGACAGAATCAATCATGTATTCATGATTTACTGTCATTTTTAAAAATTTCAGGCAGTAGCAGCAGAAGGTCAGGAAGCAAATGTAATCACTGATTATATTCTGAAGGTAATGTTAAAGAAATCTGAAGTATAATGAAATATAACCAAAAACTAAGATAAAAAAAATGGTTACTTATAGAACTCCTTTGCCATAAATTTTGTAGATTTTAGGACTGGAAGTATGTGCAGACACTATGGTAGGAGATGAAATGTTGAGGGGTATCTCTGGTGGACAAAAGAAGCGTGTCACAACAGGTGAAATGCTGGTTGGACCAGCAAAGGCCTTGTTTATGGATGAGATATCAACTGGTCTGGACAGCTCTACAACTTTCCAAATTGTGAACTCCCTCAAGCAAACTGTTCATATCCTTAATGGGACAGCATTAATCTCTCTTCTCCAACCAGCTCCAGAGACTTATGATCTTTTTGATGACATTATTCTCCTTTCCGATGGCCGGATAGTATATCAGGGTCCTCGCGAACATGTGCTGAGCTTTTTCGAATCTATGGGGTTCAGGTGTCCTGACAGAAAAGGTGTTGCGGACTTCTTGCAAGAAGTAGGGCTCAGCGATGGTTTTCTTCATTTTTTTCATTGGGACAAAGTTGCCATTCCATCACATTTGATTGTAACTGACTTTTTCATGGCAGGTTACATCAAGGAAAGATCAAATGCAGTATTGGGCACGTAGAGACCAACCTTACAGGTTTGTCACGGCGGATGAATTCGCTGAGGCATTCCAATCATTCCATGTTGGAATGCAAGTTGCAGGCGAACTTCGAACTCCATTCGACAAAACAAAGAGCCATCCCGCTGCTTTGACAACCAAGAAATATGGTGTTGGAAAGTGGGAGTTGCTGAAAACTTGCATCTCAAGGGAATACCTGCTGATGAAGAGAAATTCTTTCGTATACATCTTCAAGTTTATTCAAGTAATTACTTCTAACAAAGCTTAATTCTTTTACCACAATTGTTATCATTTCCATGAGTCTAATTAACTTTTTCATTTTATTTTTTATAGATCACATTTATGGCAATAATTACCATGACACTGTTTCTAAGGACTGAAATGAACCGAAATTCAGTTGCTGGGGGAGGAGTCTACATGGGGGCCATTTTCTTTGGCTTGATTATGATAATGTTTAATGGAATGTCAGAGCTTTCAATGACCATTAATAAGCTTCCTGTCTTTTACAAGCAAAGAGACCTGCAATTCTTTCCTCCATGGGCATATGCTCTACCAACATGGATACTTAAGATTCCAATCACATTTGTAGAAGTTGCCATATGGGTGTTTATTACATACTATGTCATTGGATTTGATCCGAGTGTTGAAAGGTAAACAAAAGAAATGACAATAAAAGTTTTTTGTGGAACTTAAATTCTTGGTGTATGTATACTTATACACAGTCGTTTATTAGCTATGATCCGAACTGAATTGCAAGCAATTTGTCTGGTGCAGGTTGTTTAGGCAGTACTTTGTACTTGTTCTCGCTAACCAGATGTCGTCGGGGTTGTTTCGCTTCATTGCAGCAACTGGTAGAAACATGATTGTGGCTAACACTTTTGGCTCATTTGCTTTGCTTGTACTTTTTGCATTGGGTGGCTTTGTCCTGGCACGAGGTATGATAAGTCTTGGACACATAATCAGACATCAAACTTTTCATGAAAACTAGACTTTCTTCTAATCGGATTTCTTTGTTTAATGTCACAGGTGACATAAAGAGCTGGTGGATATGGGGTTACTGGATTTCGCCGATAATGTATGGACAAAACGCATTGATGGTTAATGAGTTCCGTGGCAACCAGTGGAGTCATGTAAGGCTTTTAATCTGCAATCTGTGTTTTTGCTTTAATCTCTAAACAATCTTCTGATCTTTTCATATGTTCTTTCGCATCAAAGTCTTTTCCGAACTCGACAGAACCAGCAGGAATCGAAGTTTTGAGGTCCAGGGGTTTCTTCCAAGATCCGAATTGGTATTGGATCGGAGTAGGAGGATTGATTGGATTCACAATATTGTTCAACTTTTGTTTCACTGTTGCTCTTACCTATTTAAACCGTGAGTATAGCTTTATCTATTTAAAACTTGTTCTTCTTAACAAGGATTAAGAGAGAGCTAATCTTTTACCTTTAATCAAATAAATATGCAGCATTCGGGACTTCTCGAGCGGTAGTATCAGACGAAACAGACAGCAACGAACAAGCCAATGGAGTTGGTGGAAGCATTCTGTTAACAAACAATGAAAGTAGCTCAAATCATGTAACTGGATCAGGTATTAGAACTCATCTAGACTTATATCCGTTTTATTATTTACTAGCCATTTTGCAGAATGCTAAATCCAGTTAATATGCAGAGACTCAAGAGGATGTTAAAAGAAGCATCTCATCGAAGTCCTCGTCTATAACCGAGGCAACTGTTGGGGCCACTGCCATCAAGAAAAAGGGAATGGTTCTTCCATTTGAGCCACATTCCATCACATTTTATGACATTATTTATTCTGTTGATATGCCACAGGTAACACAAGGTTCCATGAATAAATTCCACACATGTTCAATGGTCAGATTATTCTTTTTCCAGTTAACGTGGTCCTTAGATATGAACGTTTGTTCGATTGGTCTGAAACTTTTCAGGAAATGAAAGAACAAGGTATTACGGAAGATAGGTTGGTGCTGCTGAAGGGTGTTAGTGGCGCTTTTAGACCAGGTGTTCTTACAGCTCTAATGGGTGTTAGCGGTGCGGGTAAAACCACTCTTATGGATGTGCTTGCCGGTAGGAAAACAGGTGGTTATATAGATGGGAACATTACAGTTTCAGGTTTCCCCAAGAAGCAAGAAACATTTGCTCGGGTATCCGGATACTGTGAGCAAAATGATATTCACTCTCCTCATGTCACTGTGTATGAGTCCCTGCTCTATTCCGCTTGGCTTCGACTACCCGCTGAAGTTAATGCCGAAACTAGAAAGGTTGGCATTCATGAAACTCTGAGCTATTTCAAGTCTCTAAATCTTCTTTGATGTATGTTATATGTTTTTACTATGATAATCCAATAGATACAATTGAGTCCAACGAAATAACCCATTTTTCCTAATGATCAGTTTGGTATGGCTTATGTTCATTGTTTTGCTTCGAAATGTGTTTCCAGATGTTCATCGAGGAAGTCATGGAACTCGTGGAACTGAACCCGTTGAGGCAAGCACTAGTTGGTTTACCTGGTGTAAATGGTTTATCAACTGAGCAGCGAAAGAGGCTTACAATTGCTGTTGAGCTTGTGGCGAACCCTTCAATCATTTTCATGGATGAGCCAACTTCAGGGCTTGATGCAAGAGCTGCTGCAATCGTTATGAGAACAGTTAGGAACACGGTGGACACAGGAAGAACAGTCGTGTGTACCATCCATCAGCCAAGTATCGACATATTTGAAGCATTTGATGAGGTGAGAAACTTGAAAGTCAATTCGGAAAGAGTTTATTTCATCATTGTTGGCTGTTCATACGAGTTTATAACCGAATAAAACATGAACATTGCAGCTGTTTCTTATGAAACGGGGAGGACAAGAGATATATGTTGGGCCATTAGGACACCATTCTAAACATCTAATCAAGTACTTCGAGGTACGATGAAATGGAAGACCCCGAATAACAAAGTTAACATAACTTATTCTTCCAATGCTGTAATGTTCATCTTTCTGCAGGGAATTCAAGGAGTTAGAAAAATCAAAGATGGATACAATCCGGCTACATGGATGTTGGAAGTTACCACAACTGCACAGGAATTATCTCTAGGCGTTGATTTCGCCGATATCTACAAAAACTCGGATCTGTACAGGTAATGATAAGATACTAAGACTCAGCACTGCAACAAAAAGCTGTATACTGGTTCAACCAAGTACTTTAATTCAGCATGATATCTATATCCGGGATAGCTGTCTCAGCTAACTCGAATTTTCTACTAATGTATATAATCTTTTCAGGAGAAACAAAGCTCTTATTGAAGATTTAAGCAAGCCTGCTCCTGGTTCAAAGGAACTCTATTTTCCAACTCAGTACTCTCAGTCATTCTTGACTCAGTGTGCGGCTTGCTTATGGAAACAACACTGGTCATATTGGCGCAACCCACCATATACCGCTGTTCGATTTCTTTTTACGACTGTAATAGCATTGGTGTTTGGCACACTGTTCTGGGACCTTGGCTCGAAAACGTAAGCTACAAGTCAAACCAAAAGGCTCATGCCTAAATGTTGGTTTCCAGCAACTTCATATATCTAACTGCCACATTGTGGAATTACAGGAATACTAGGCAAGATCTGACCAATGCAATGGGTTCAATATATGCTGCTGTTCTTTTCCTTGGTATCCAAAACGCTGCATCTGTGCAGCCTGTTGTTGCCGTAGAAAGAACAGTCTTTTATCGAGAAAGAGCTGCTGGAATGTATTCTGCCATGCCGTACGCCTTATCACAAGTATGATTTTACGATCTTGAAACCTTGGAAAAGATTTGAAACAGTTAAGAAAGTTGAATAAACATCCATTTTCTGTTTTGCAAATTGCAGGTCTTGATTGAGTTGCCGTACATTCTTGTTCAAGCCACTGTGTATGGCCTTATAGTCTATTCTATGATCGGATTCGAATGGACCGCTGCAAAGTTCTTCTGGTATCTCTTCTTCATGTACTTCACCTTGCTATACTTCACCTACTATGGCATGATGGCTGTTGCTGTCACACCAAACTACCACATCGCTGCGATCGTTTCCGCTGCATTCTATGGAATATGGAACCTCTTTTCAGGGTTCATCGTCCCACGACCCGTAAGTTCTTTTCGTTCCTTTCATCAAGTGATTCTCCATTGTTCAAGCTCATTCAAATTTCTTGACAACTTAATCGATTTTGTAGAGCATGCCTGTATGGTGGCGATGGTACTATTGGATCTGTCCGGTATCTTGGACCTTCTACGGATTGGTTGTTTCGCAATTCGGAGACATACAAACACCCCTTCTGGATGGCGAGTTTCCCGGTCAGACGGTCGAACAATATTTCAGAAGTTATTACGATTTCAGACATGATTTCCTCGGAGTTGTGGTTGCCGTAATTCTTGGTTTCACTGTGCTGTTTGCATCCATCTTTACTGTTTCCATTAGATTGTTTAATTTCCAAAGACGATAGAAATTACTTATATATTTACATATATGACATTTTAATTTTTGTACAAGTTTATAAGATACAATTTCCTTCATTGTAATTCAAGATCTTGTTGAAACAGTGTGAATTAAGGAATAAGAACTATTTCATCTCTTATTAAACAATTGTAATTTTTACCAAACCCTAGTTGAGGCAGATTAAGATTAAATTCACATTTTACTGATAAACTAGTGGGAAATGATCAGATTACAGGGTGCAAGTAACAACAGCATAACAACTTTCTGATGAACAAATAAACGATAATATCATCCACTTACAGGTTTTCGGCTTTGCGGTACGCTGATCCAAATTCGGTAAACCATTTTTCATGCTTCTCGATATCGGCTTGTGAAACACTTCGCTGGACCTTCGCCAAGGCTTCTTCGAAGTCGCACATTGCGACAGGATCCTTCGAAATCTCATCTTTGGACATATTCTTAATTTCGTCACGGGTTTTACCAGCTATTTTACGCCTCATGCCATTTAAGGAAGCATCGCGACAAACATTGGAGAGATCATCCCCACTATACCCTTCTGTTCGACGAGCCACTTCATCGATATCCACATCAGCAGCTACCTGCCACATTACCACATTAGCATCGAAAAGATTTGGTTTTTAAAGAGGGTATGAGCTATGTTGCTCTAATTCTTTATCTTTCTCGTAGCACCCATGTCTGACATAAATCCGGCATGGGTATAGCCGTATCGGGATATAACTCTCCAAACATCCACCACTGTCGCCAAAAAGAAGAAACGGCTTGTTCGTCAAATTTCTCGTTCTCGTCAGACAGATAAATGAAGAAATTAGTTTTACATGATATATGACCTACCAATCATAGTATTCTATAACATTTCAAATCATCTAGTTTTCAGATGCTTCATATATTTACGCTTCCAAAAGATATATTCAAGGTTACACCATCACCATTATGCTACCAAAGCGACATTTCATTTTCTTGATTCATGGCATAACTAACTTTTAGCTTAAGTAAAACTAAGTATCATGGGAAAGAAAAGCAAATGCGGCATGAAAAAAAGGCGAAACAAAGAAGGTAACCATAACATAAAGCTGTAATTAGTGAGAGTATTTACGTCAACTGTTTTTAAATTGATCCGAATGAGCTCCTTACGACTCTCAAAATTGGGCAAAGGAATGTATATATACGCTTCTCCAGTCGCCTCCTACATTCCATGAGGAACAATTAGATACCAAAAATGTAATAACTTTAATCATATGATCTCTCAAACATATGACGTTGTGCGAATATGATACCCTGTCAAATGAAAAAGAGAGAAAAAAATCAAGACTGGAACAAATAGAAAATAAACAGGACCAACCTGAGCGCCACATCTATGTCCCATGGGAAGTTCGTTGCAGTCAAAACCATCACTATTTTACGGCTACCATATTCGTTTGTGCCTGTATTATTTACACCATCTACCTGAACAAGCTGTTCAGATTTTACCCTTCTAGACGACTCATGCTCCCCAGAAGCCCTAAACCAAATAAAATAAGAAAGGGTATGCAAAGCCAATCCAAAAAGGAAGAGAGAGTGATCAAAGCACCAATAAATGCCCGAACGAAAAAGAAGAATGAGATATCTATGAAAATTTCTGAGTTAAAACATTAAAATACTGGCCCCTCACCATGCTAGAAAATATACACAAAAATATTTAAACTTCGTACATCTAGAATATATGAAAGTCGACTGTCAAGAGATCCCAGATAACAGCCAAACTGTACAGTATCAAGTAGCAAACTTACCCACAAACATTGCAAAGAGAGTCAATCTCATTAATAAATTGTACTAGGAGAATAAGCTCTTGCAAGATCAAACAAGCACCGGACCATGCGCTCACCCTCCCCGCGCCACTTCGTGGCTAGTGTAGCAGAAGATGTTGCGGAAGACGGCTATCGGATAGAGCAAAATCGCAACTGATAATTTGAGAAAATAAAAATGAAGATAAAAGAGACACAAAATTTACGTGGAAAACCCCTAAAAATTAGGGTAAAAACCACGGGCAACGGTAGAAAAATTTCACTACGAGAAAATAGGAATTACAACCTCTCTCGATCTACCAAGAAGAAAACAATGATAATTCTCTCTAGATAAAAAGGAGAAAACAACTCTCAAGAAACTCTCTAAAATCTCTCTAGTATTGGAAGAAAGCTAGAATGCTTTGGGATGATTTTGAAGCTAAATGAGCTAGGGTATTTATAGTTGAAACTTAAGGACTAATCTTATAAATACCCTAAAGTTTAGTGACTAAAATTTATAATTTATCCATTTAATTTTCAAACATTGTTGCACCTAATTTTGACATTGCAATATTAGGTGCCTAACTTGAACCAAATTTTCCAAGCTTTGACATTTCAACAATCTCCCACTTGAAGATTTGATTGGAATAATCATATCTTCACACCATTCTTTCTACCTTGTACTATCATGTTGCTTACGTCTCTGACAGGCCACAAGAGGATCGACACCAGGTAAATTTACAGCTCCACCAACAACTTTGAACACATATCCTATAGTAGATTTGCTTTTATCCAAATCCCCTGCATAGTCAGAATCTACATACCCATTAATTAGTAAGTTTGATCCTCCGTAACATAATGCACATTTGAGGTCCCTTTGATGTATCTTAGGATCCTCTTTACTGTATTCCAATGCTCTTTGCCTGGATTCACCATGTACCGACTAACCACCTCCCACTGCTGTGCAATGTTGTCGATCTTGTGCATATCATAGCGAACATTAAACTTCCCACTGCTGATGCATACGGTACTCGAAACATCTCCATCCTCTCTTCTTCACTGCTAGGACTCATACTGGAGGATAATTTGAAGTTAATAGGAAGAGGGGTAGAAATTGGCTTACAATCTTGCATGTTGAATCGTGACAAGTCCTTCTTCAAGTAATTCTTTTATGAAAGCCAAATCTTCCTATTACTTCTGTCTCGGTGAATTTGCATCCCTAGAATCTTGTTTGCTGATCCCAAGTCCTTCATTTCAATTCCCTAGCCAGTTGTGCCTTCAATTCTTCAATATGATCTTTGTGGGTTCCTGCAACATGTCATCCACATACAACATCAATAAACAAATCATTATCACCAGACCTCTTGAAATAAGCACAAGGGTCTGCATTAAGTCTGTTGTACCAAGGCACATAATGAAGGAATCAATCTCTTATACCAACACCTCGGTGCCTGCTTTAGACCGTACAGAGATTGTTCAACCTGCAAACCAAGTTTTCTTTTCGTCTTCTTCAAAACCTTCAGGCTGGAGCATATAAATCTCTTCTTCAGATTTCATGAAGAAAAGCTGTTTTTAACATATAGCTGTTCCAAATGTAAATTCAATGTAGCACACATTGCCAAGACTACTCGAATTGTTGTTAGTCGAACCACAGGAGAAAAAATTTCATTGAAATCAATACCTTCTTTCTGAGCATATCCTTTGACCACCAGTCTTGCACGATACCTCTCCACTTGATCGTCACCATTCGCTTGATTTTGAAAACCCATTTGTTACAATTGGCTTCCTTCCTTGTGGTAGTGGCACAAGGTCCCATGTATTTTTTTATGAAGGGCTTCGATTTCTTCTGTCGCATCATCATAGTGAAGCATCTGAGTTGTTATTGCCTCTTGGTATGTTGATGGCTCACCGTCCTCTGTTAAAAGGCAGTATGCAATATTACCTTCTATAACATAATCTGAGTGCCAATTGGGGCGTCTTCTCACACGATCTGATTGACGAGTTGTTGGAGCTTCAGAACTCTCTGGTTCTTGTTCATCATGTGCTGGTTCTGCTTCAGAAGAATCTCCTTCTTCAAACTCTTTTTCCACATGTATCTGAGTAGTCTCTGACTTTTCAGCGCTATCATCGTCTTCTTTTCTTTGTAGTTTATCTTCTACAAAGATAACATCCCTGCTAATGATCACTTTGCGGGCAGTGGGATCCCACAAGCGATACCCTTTACTCCATCAGCATACCCCAAGAATTTGCATTTCCTGGATTTTGGATCCAACTTTGAAATTTCTTGGGCGTTGTACATCACGTACACAATACTTCCAAATACATGGAGGTTTGAATAATCAACTGGTTTACCAGTCCACATCTCCATTGGTGTCTTTAGCTCTATTGCAGTTGATGGAGCTCGATTCACCAAATAACAGGCGGTATTGACTGCTTCTGCCTAGAATGATTTTTCTAGGCCTGCGTCCCTCAACATTGCTCTTGTTCTTTCTAACAAGGTTCTGTTCATCCGCTCCGTCACTCCATTTTGTTGAGGAGTGTTCGCCACTGTGAACTGTCTTTTGATGCATTCTTTCTTGCAAAAGTCATCAAATTCTTCGCTTGTGTATTCTCCTCCATTATCTGTTCTGAAACACTTGATCTTATTTCTAGAATCAAGTTCCACCCGCGCTTTGAAGTTTTTGAAAGTTGAAAACACGTTTGACTTCTTCTTAATAGGGTACACCCAACATCTCCTGGAGTAGTCATCAATAAATGAGACAAAGTATTTTGCTCCGCCTAGGGATGTAACTGGTGCTTGCCATACGTCAGAGTGAACCAATTCTAGAACACTTTTGCTTCTAGAATTTGACTTGTTGAATTTCAACCGGTGCTGCTTACTTGTTATACAATGCTCACACAAAAGAAGTGATACCTTTGTTAAGAGGGGAAGTAACTTTGCTCCACAAGGACTTTCATTCTTGTTCTGACATGTGTCAAGTTTCTGATGCCATAGCATTGTAGAATCTGAACTACATGAGGCAACAGAGGCTTCTGATTCTAGCAAAGTCTCTCCCTTCAACATGTACAAGTTTGCTGCTATCTTTTCGCCTTTCAGCACCACAAGCGCTCCACGGAACACCTTCATGATTCCTTTCCGTGTTTCAATCTTGCTTGAATTATTATCCAATAATCCGTAGGATAATAAATTTTTCTTTAGGCCTTTCACGTGCCGCACATCTCGAACAAC